ACACCTGCTCCAGTTCTGCTGCCTGCTCTTGTTGAAACTGTCTGCTGTGCCACCATTTCCAGCCATGCTGCTCACCTGCTGCTCCCAGTTGAACAACTCACCTGCTCCATGCCAGTCATCCAATTCCACACTCCTCCTGCAACCTGGATCCTTTGCCCCACAACATTCCCTTAGAATTCTCTCCTTCACTCATTGAACAGTTGCCAATAGGCAACTTTTATTACTACACCACTGGTTGTTTCTTTGTCTGAATCTATATTGGGGTCCAAACAGCATTTTAACCAGAACGTAACACCATATGATATTTTGATTTTGATGATTATGATTATGATTGCCTTTTCCTATGACGTCTTATGCCTTACTATACTATGAAATTTTTATACCTTACTATAATTTGACAATTTTATGCCTTTCTATACTATGACGTTTTTTGACGTTTTTATGCCTTACTACACTTTGACAATTTTATGCCTTACTATGGATGTATATGTATGTAACATGTCTGTAATATAAATAGACATACTAAAATACATGTTTCTATTAGCTAGACATACTGTATATGTCATTATATGATATTGTTACAATGTCTAACAGGTTTCATATGTATTTTTTATATAGGCTATAATTTAAATATATATATGATTTTACTTCATATGTACACATTTCATATATGGAAATTCAACACATGTACATATATTATATTCGCGTATGGACATCCCTGAATGTAAATTCAGATCTTATATGTTACGATATGTTGATGGTATTAAAAAGCCAACCTCTTTGTTTTGGAGGGATGTCGGGGTTGTTGTGTCCCTACCAATGTTGAAACCAACCCTACACCCTAGATGCATGCATGTATGGACACACACACAGCCACAGTTGCTGCTCCCCACCCAGTGTGTTTTAAACTTGGTGGGAAAAAGGCCTGTCACCAAATTAAAAGAGAGAGATGTGTGCTTGGGGTGCTGATGACTTGCTGTGTTGTGAGGCACACTCATTTGCAAACAGCCAATGTCCCATTCTATCTCCCCCTCAATTGCCTGCCATCACTCCCTGAACTATGTTCAAACCGTTAGTTTAAATGGACACTGCACAGTATGAAGTAACGTTATTTGCAGTTACAAGCTCTGCCCCATCTTACCAGAGACATTGCAGATTCCCAATTAGGTTTGATTAAGGCATTTTTGTGGGCTGGTCCCCTCGGTAAGAGAAACTATAGATGAAAGGCAGTCTTGTGTATAGTCGTGTTAGCATGAAGGTCATCCAGCACACTACTACTTCAATACTTCCTTATTTTCTCTTGATGGTCTGTCATGTCATGTGAAGCACTGATGTTTTTAAATGTGAAACGCAGAAAATGAGAGGTTTCTTTGCTGTTCTTCTTATGGGTAAGAAGGCCAAAAATACTGTTTTTCCACATATAGAAAATGTCTTTTTTTCTGGCAGAGCAGTTCTTTGCTCTGAGTGAACAGAAAAAATTGGATGAGTAAACACTTTTTAACATAAAATGAAAAATAAGAATGATAGGTCTAAGGGTATCATATTAATGATTCCTACAGATACAACAGGTATAACTGTAAGATGTATTATTAAGCATGTTTTCAAGGTCATCACAATAACAATGGTCATGGGCATTGGACTCCCTTTCTCCTATCTGGAGGTGAAATAACTGTAGGTGCATTTACATTAACCTGCTTAAATCACAATTTGAAATTGTCTAATTCAAAACAGGTAATTTAAACAAGTAAATGTTACAAAAAATGTATACGCTCACATTAGTTGGTTTGTCTTGATAAAGCAGTATTTTGCAAAATTGAAATGGAAACACTTGCCCCAGGAAGTCAGTTCCAATGTCAGACTGCTGGAAATCTGTTGTCATGTTTAATTGGAATGATGTCACGAGATGAGGAAACACAGCTTTATTCGCATAACATCTTTCAATGGAAACACAGACCATTCACCAACAGTGTTTTGTCAACTTTAAGAATATTTCTTCTATTTTGTGCAAAACTGCACTGGTAACCCAGCTTATGACCAATTTGACTAATCACAAGTCATATGTAAAGTCAGAAGTGTAGAATTGTAGAGATCATTTTCTGTCAACCTGCTGTGCTTTTTTTAAAATTGCAGTATAGTAAGAAAGGGTCAAAGGGTGTTTGAATCCTTAGGAAAATCAAAGAAAATGATTATCACTAAAGGCCTCTCCACAGTGGCCCCTCGAGACAGTGAAAAAAGAAATAGAATAGGAAAATGTCTGGTACTTCAATCCATGTTGAAAGTCCTATTGTAGAGGCCTGAGAAACATCCTCTAACAGATTTGTGCCAGATCATTGGGGACACTGGTCCCCAGTTTCAGGTTCACTGAGAAGTTAAAGACAAGCATAAGACCCTCTGCCACTGGACAACTCCTTATCTAAACACTCTTACTCTTGCACAACGCATTCTTAAGTGGCAATGATGGGCAGACTGGGTAGGAGTAAAGGGTAGTGATGTTGTATCTTTGATGGACAGTTTGAATTTGATAAGGAGCTGTGGTGCCAGCTGTACTGTCATCAGTAAAGGAGAGAGAGAGGCCTGCAGCTGGCCTGAGGTGACCTTGTCAAACCTGCTGAATAGGAGGTTTAATTGGTTTGCCCTCCTCCTGGTTCATTTCAACCATTTGGTCTAAGGGCTTATACATAGAAAATGTTTCTCATTGCATTCCCCATCTCTTTCACACTAATATGCCACAGCTTGATTTCAATTCCCTCCCTGTTGGTGTTCTCTCCTCCCTAATTTTTTTTGTTGCCTTTTCTGTGTCTTTGGGCAATTATACTGCCAACCTAACTGTAAGCCCAGATGGCCCCCATTTAGTGTATTGAGGATGGATAAAATGTGTGGTTTGATTCAGTGTTTGATATCAACAAACTGATTCTATAATTCCCACAAAATCTGCAGTGCAGTTGAGTCTTATGTGTGCATCATGCACCAAGCAAAACACATTCTGGTCCATTAGCTGACTACCTTACAGTGGAGCCTTCATGCATTATTGTAACCACACTTTGACAGAACCAATTGCAACAGGCTGCTACTGTATAAATGGTCTGTGTCTGGGAACAGAACATTTTTTAAAGTGGTTATGGAGCTGTGTGCATCTTTATCCATGTATACAGAATGTTCCAGGTGTTATTCTCACATTAAAGGGGACATATTATACTCCTTTTCAACAAGTTTAAATAAGTCTCAGAGGTCCCCAAAACATGTCTTTGAAGTTTCTTGCTAAAAAATCCACTCCGATCCTATATTTCAGCATGCCTGTAAACCCCTCTTTTTCAGCGCTGTTCAGAACAGGCTGTTTCTGTGTCTGTAGCTTTAAATGCAAATGAGCTGTGCCTGACCACGCCCCTCTCCGGAAGGGGATGCGGCTTGCGCTTCTGGCACCGTGCTGTAATGTTTACGGTGACCGTGACTGGTGACCTGGGTCAGAAGCGACTGCTACAGGTGTTCAATGTCGAGACTAGTAATATTAATAGATGCTGACAAATTAAATAATTTTTATTTTATTAATTTTTATCCATGTTTTGAGCAGAGATGCTCATCATGACATCTTCCTTTATGTAGTAAATTTATTTTGTGTATTACAATGAAAGCTGTAAATCAGCATAAACATGTCTGTTAGCAACATTAATCTTTAGTCAAAGACAAGGCTGTGCAGTGTTTTCTATACTACACTGTTTTCAAGCTCCGCATTATATGCAATAAGTGACATGTTATAAATTACCTATGTTATATGCACTTGATATGTAGCCAAGCTTACTTCTTACCCACCTTAGCTCCACTGTTAGTCAGTTTTTGAATTTCATAAGCTTTATATTCTGATGAATGTTACCTATTTTTTCTATATTTTGGATAGGTGCTCCTGTGGAAACTGTGCAACCATGCCCACAGAAACTGAGACTATCTGCTGCTAGGAGATACCACAGGTAGCATTCTCACTAGACAAACTAATGAGTAATCAGAGAGAAAATAACTGGAGTGGGCGATCATGGAGGATCATCAGCTATCAGGCCTTATGCTAAACTTCACTGTTTAACTTCCTTTATTGTACAATCTTGATTTCACAAAAACGCTTAAACCGCCTCCTTTGTTCCTTATGCTCTAGTTCCCTTTGTACCCAAGCACCAGCTGTAGACCTTCCAGCTGAGTTGCACAATTTTATGAAACACCCTTTAGCCAACTCTATATGTTACATACATCTGGATGCTTTCGCACTTATCCATTTGAGTTCTGACTCTAGTGTGCCAGCATCTGGCAGTAGATTTTTTTTTGGCATTTAAGGAGCAGTTTTCATCAGGGCTGTCAGCTGTGTTGGATAACATGCCATATAAGCGAATTTGTAATAAGAAAAAAAAATATTTGAGAATTCTGACCCTACTGGTTTTCTTAAAAAATATCATTAGAATATCTTAAATGAAACTACAATAGGTTTATTGTCTTTTTTTGCATTCATGGATGATGAAAATCTGGCTCGAAAAAACTGAACCTTTCTTCTTAGAACCCAATTTTGTGCAATACAAAACACATCTATAGTATTTATCTGAATAGAGATAATACAATATCTCTAGAAGAGCAAACTCAGAGCGGAGTGTATAATTAGAAAGAGAAGAAGGTTTCCACTTTTACCTAGGGAAATACTGTGAATTGGATGGCAAGGATTATGTTGAAAATATTAAAATTCCGAGTAAATCCTTGTACAGTAGTAAAGCACAAATTGTTGGGACCCTGTGCGGCCAGTGACACATTGTTCCTGACAGTTGGCTGAACAAAGCTAGAGCTATGCAAGTCTGCATGGGTGCAGACTTAAAAGGATATAGTTGAAAAGCAAGAATCAGCTAGAATTTAATGCTGTACAAAACCAATGCTTATGGGAGTTAGTGTGTATAATTCAGCACTGGTAAGAAACTCAATGTTGATAAATGACAGAAGACAATAATCAACAAATAAAGGAAGGAAATACTCACAACTCTCTATCTCAAGTGTGCAGTTTTGCTCATCCAGTGGATATCTTCTTAGATCCATCATACAAGCGGCAGTGGTTGTGATCCTGAAAAGATATGACACAACGATTGTGGTAGGGTCTGACCGGAAACCCATTGTTTGTTGTTTTCAGTAGAGGAATGGCTGTAATCTGCAGTATCTTTTTTGTCCCTGAATGTAGACAAAGGTAATCAAAACTGACTGATCCCAGCAGACACTGTAACGTCAGAGAGGCATTGGACCCTAACCACTCTAACATCAGACAGACATTAGATTTTGGTTGGAAATGAAAATTGGGTTTGCATCAAAACCCAGCCAATGTTGGCCAATTGTCATTGTGACATTTAGCAGACATAAAGCTTTTTGTTCATGAGCAGAATGTCTATATTTTATTTCAAGATGGCATTGGCATGTGACATTTAGGAGATGTTGGATTTTGGTTACCTAGAAATGCAACTGAAAACCAATAAAATATTATGCCAAATTAACGTTGGCATTAGACAGTCTGACATTTAATTTTGGTCACCTGACATCATATTCTACATTCAACCATATATCAATGTCTAACAACGTTGGTGGCCGGATGAATACCTGCAGGGATAACTAAGAGACTGTTAAAAGTCTGAATCTAAATCATCACTGGATAGCAGTTACATACAAAAGTTGTATAGACTTCACTTCACTGTGAACAGTGGCGAAACGTGAGTATTAGAGCTATAAGCCTTCAACCAACCAACCAGTCAGCATTGCAGTTAACAGCTGACTCTTTTTATCTTGGTTGATGGCGATCAGTTTAAAGCTTGTGCACGCATAAAGATATAAATGCTTAAACCTTTGTTGCCATGCTACACATCATTAGCTCAGATAAATTCCACAAATCAACTCTTCAGTCCATTTTACAGAAAGTAATTCAAAAGTATAATCAATTCAGATTTACTGGCATCGTAAACCAGCAAGATGGTGAAACGGTGCTGAACTCTTGAAAAAAAGAAAAATCTGACAGGATAACTCTATTTTCATAAATAGAAGAGAATAATTATTAAATAACAGAGATTATATATTAGATTTAAAATGCTGATATGTTTGGCCTTCTTTGAAGGCCTAGAAGGCCCTGAGGGTTCCCCCATGAATTTGAGAATGATGTATTTTCAGACTTATTGAATAAGGTTTATAAATGTTTATGGGAAAATGTAGCCTAATTTAACTAACAACAAGAATTCTGATTAAAATTCATATTGTCTACATAACCAAAGGTAACTAAATTAAGACTTTAAATCTTCAAAAACTCTACAGGACAATACATTCGAAGGTTTGGGACTGGAAGTAGCAGTGGGAACTCCATTGAGGATTACAGGGCAAAAGCTAATGCTTATGTCCCAGGATAATCCTGTGGGTCCTCTATTAGGCCCCACCTGATATGTGAGTCACATCAAGGATCAAACTCTGTGGGACAGTGGTAACCCCAGAGATAACAGACGTATGTCGAATGAAACGAAACGCATTACAACCTGATGTCATCTGACTTTTTAAGTCAAGATTATTGTTCATATGAAGTGACACCTCTAGTGCTACCAGTGATAATAATATTTGAAGTAGAAGCAGCAGCAGAAGAAGAAATAGCATATTTCATATTAAGGAATTGAGTTTATCATTTCGATTTCTAAAATATTTATAATTCTTAAAAATAGCTGTTGAATAGATCTGTTCTGACATCATGTGGTCACTTCAAAATCTTATGTTACCTCACTTGTGTTTCTTTTCTTCAGGTTGACCAAGGTAAGAGTGAGATTTCCCAGGCTTTCTGTGAGTGTTAAGTTTTGGCAAAGTTGTCCACCCCTCTCTCTGCTGATTTGAGTGACATTGCTTTGCTTTGTGAACGTTGTTGTTGAGTGTGAAAAGTTGTATGAATAAACAGGAAAAAAAGAGATCGTGGGAGGTTCTTTTATGTTTGTCTCCACTTAGAATCAAAAGTGATTTTCATGTTTTAAGCTCTCAAGTTTTACTTGACAGGGAATTGTATATGAGGTGCTGGCACGGCTACACGAACACAGAAAATATAAGACGGAGATTTATTGGGAGGCCCTGATCTTTAAGCTAATGAAATTATCTCCCTTCTACATCTCAAGACACCAATGAAGTTTAATGACTATAGCATTCAGAGAATATATTAAGTATCATACATATAAATAAGCCAGAGACTACTCCTTTGGTAATGCTGTGTAAATCAAGGGAGTTATTTTTATTGTGTATAGCACGGGAGTAGTGGAATAGGCCTCAAACACACCCCTGTTTATTTCATCCCGACAGTGTTCATTAACAAAAGATCTCACAGTTATCGTTCAGCTAAGACGTTTCATCTAAGGAAACACTTGAAATGACAAATGTAAATCATATTATCCTGTAACGGACCGAAATGGGATCTAGCTATCATCTCCAGCACCTGAGGTGCCGCATATCAACCCTACCTGACTCTATGGAGTATGTTGACAAAAAGAAAGATCAATAAGGCTGTAGATTATTATCTTCATTTCAACTGGGATGGCCACAAGGGTGATTGTATAGACAGTTACAAGAGTTTTGAGGCAAATGGGACAGTGGAGCATAAAGCTGACTCCTGAGGCTTAACTATTTCATTTTCTCTCTGGCAGAATCCGATATAGACATAAAAGAATGGTATCAAGTGGGCTGTAGTAGACTCCAATTCAATGCAGTCAGTGATGAGAGACACCATGATTATGTTTTTAGTACTTCAATAAGGAGGAAACTCTGTCTAGATTTACTTTCTATTTGTTTAAGTATTTCCATTCATTTTTTTCAGTTTTAGTAAGGAACATGTCATGATTTGATCTTAAACTTTTTAAACTCATGAGTTTTAGTCTACATGAGATGAAGTAGCCAAATGATTTATATAATCAAAATGGGAAAGTCATTGATACAAGTTCAATTCAGTATCATGTGGATTATGTTACACTTGGGTTGTCTTTATGTGTCAAACACGTAACTGTAATTTTTATTTAAAGCTTCTCTAACTTTTGATGGATTGTGACAAATGAACTGCGAACAAAACAAATCAGTTTAAATCTGGATTAAAGATGGCCTGATTGCTCATAACCCTAATTTAATATTCTAGAAGAAACGTTCTAGCATGATAAGTGCTTTTATAATAGCTTCAAACAGCAGTGGCCAAAGAGCTATAGCCTTCTGCTTTCTTGCCCCTATCGTATTCTGTGTAATAGCATTTAGCCTCCCAATTGCTATCAAAACAAATAGACAGTGGTGGATCATAAAGGACAATAACAGCAGCCAGCCATGAGTCAGTAGATAAGGTTATGTTGTCCATCAGACTTTGTGAAGGGAACATAAGGACGAGGCTGTGAGTAATAGGCTGCCATTCTTTCCTTGGCTCTGTTCTTGTGTGAGAACTTGACTCCCACTGAGGGAGTTGCCACAGAGCAGCACAGCATGGTGGGTAATCGTCTAGGCACACCTGACAACATAGATAAATTTGTGCCAGAGGAGAGGCTCATCTTGAGTCCAATCCTCTGTGTTACACAGCAGAGATAATCACCCTTGTGTGTCTCTGTGCCTCTATCACTCTCTTTTGCTCTCTTCTCTTTCTCTTTCTCTTTCTCTTTCTCTCTCTCTCTCTCTCTCTCTCTCTCTCTCTCTCAGTCTCTCTCGCTCTCTCACACACATACACTATTCCATTATTTGTACCATCAGCCACTGGAATGCCAATCTTTTTTTGCATCCCATAATCTATGCATTTCTAAACCCCGAGCCATCTAAGATTTATGCACTTGCATATTGGACAACAACTCAAAATATTGTGCGTGATATGATTGGCAGAAAGCTTTTAAAATGATGATGCAGAAATACGGCATTACTTTTCACAAAGCTCTTGTGGTCCGTTTTTCATATGCCTTTTGGAAAGGCATCCTGTGCTGTCTGTAAATCATCTGTATCAACGTCCAAGCTCACCACAGGCACCATATGGTGAACAGGTGGGTCCACACCTGCCCAAATCAAAACAATCGGCGTGGTAAACTCAGTATTTCTCAGGTCAAATCAAAATAAACAAGAATAAGGAAGTTCACCGTTGCTTAAGTTCTCCAATTCGCCATATTATTTTCTTACAGTCGTGCCTCTCTAACAAACAGTTAGTTATGGAGCACTGTAGCACCAGTTCCTGTTAGCCTCCACAAAAACAAACTGAGTGTTCCAAAAAGTGTCCAAAAATCTACTGGATGCATCATAACTTAAGCGTGCTGATGCCAAACAACTGCACTGTGAGTCCTGGACATGCAATTACATTATATTTCATTACATGTTCTCATTGTACTTGGCATATAGGAGAATGTGTATATTTGGAGGTAAACTACAGTGTATATTTAAACCAAATGACTGTGTTTGCATTGTGGTAAATGAAAGGACAGATGATTCAGAAGCTGTATACATGTAGGTGACTGAATAATCAATTTTTGAGGGAGATTGTAAATTGAAGAAAACAGACTAAGATGGCAAAAAAAAAGACTCCTACACTTCCCAGATACAGTGTGTCAATATCAGTGAAACCTTAACATCATTGCATTTAGGGGTTCAAATCAAAAGTATAGTTTGTTTTTTTTGCAGTTTATAGTATGGGCCCATTAAAGTTCCTAAAAAAAGAAATTATTATACTGCTTACTAATTGGTTTTAAAACCGTGTTTCCTGGCAAGCAACTTCTTGGAGTAAAATGATTGTCCTCTCCAGAAAACCAGCAGCAGCAGCATAAGTTTGTTCCTAACTTCAGACAACTTCACATCCCTTCTCCTAGCAACAGTCACACTGGTTTATTTTAACCAAACTTTGACCATGATCTGAAGTAGTTTTAACTGTTATAACATTTTACTAAACATCTAATTTTGTCATTTGCATAGGCCTATGAAGACTTGTGGCTATATTTGTATGAAGGGAGGGCAGCAAGGCAAAAGAGACCACAGGAGTGAAATAACAAAAAGATAGATGAGAGAAAATTTGAGGACAGAGGGTATCAGTTGAGACAGAGAGGGGGACTATCACAGTGG